TCATGTTTTCATAACCGCTGGCCAAATTCACAAACGAGAAACTAAAATTAAATCATCTTTGAGTGCAAGGGGGCCCCACGCAGCTTGCGTAATTTGCGTATAGGGAGGATCAGCTCTGCTTTTATGCTATATGTGCAGCAGCAGTAATTCTTACATGCTCACAAGAGAATGTCTGGGGATTTATTGGAAGTAGCAAGTCTCTGTACTTGCTCTGCATAGCAGATCTATTCCACCAAGACCAAACACGTTAACATTGCCATGTATATTACCATGCTAAAACTCTCAGAAAGTTGTCATGACAGAGTTACAATTGAGAAGAATGCAGAAAGCTTCATCCAGGTATTACAGACCTCTTTGTCATTTACTTGGAGCTGAGTTTTGCACATTCCATGCACTGGGATTACGGCCCTCCTCCTTGTAAAGGCGTCCCACCTCAAAGGAACCATTTAGACAGTTTTACTGCCATTTTACATTTCAAGAACTCTTTTAAAGGGACAGTTCACCTAAAACTGAAAATATATTATTTTTACCTCATGTGGTTCCAACCCTATATGATTTTCTATCTTCTCTGGAACACAAAAGAATATATTTTGAAGAATGTTGGTAACCAAAGAGTTTTGACCATTGATCATTGATTTTTAATGTATGGAGATAAAAAATAAAATTTTCAGTCATACGATCTTTTATGTTCCACAAAAGAAATAAAGTCATGCTGGAATTTTCAGTTTTGGTTGAACTAACCCTTTAATAACAGGCTTTACATGGATAATTCACTTATAATTCAAGATGGGGTTTTAATAAAAATTGGCTATCCATGCTGTAGAAACGCATTTGTTTTCTTTTGAAATCGGTGCTGTAAGACCATAGAAAAAGGGCAGTGATAAAAATAAAAAAAAAGTTGGAAAACTTCGACACCCATACTGCACTGGGCTCAATCACTGCATGGTGATTATTTATGTATATATAAATACACACACATACATATATAGTAAGGAAAATATAATTTATATATAATATAAAGGATATACAAGTATAAATATATATACATACAAATATTTTTTTAATATATAGGCCTACATATATGTGTGTATATTTATATATACTGTACACAGTAGACACATATAGCATATAGTATGTTAACAAACTTTTATTTTGAATGCGATTAATCGTGATTAATCGTAAAAATGTAACAATTATTTTAACGTTCTAATTGTTTTCAACTTTAAAGTTACACTATCCATGGGGATACAAAAATGCAGAAGAACAATCTGTAGTTCGGAGCTGTCATAAGTCTTGGTGCAGGTAACAAAGAAAAAATAATACACATTGCTCATTTATTTATATACAGACATTGAAACAAAGGTTGAAAAATAGTTGAAAATGGGTGAACTTGCCCTTTAACAAAAAAACAACAAAACAAAACTTCAGATTTCTTGAACGCTCCTTGTCTGCTTTTATTTTTTTAATCAACATTTTTAATAACAACAATACAGGGACTATAACAGAGTTTGAATGAGCAAGAAGAGGAAAAGTCCAGATCTAACTAATGATCTTTAGTGGACACTCTGCCAATGATCTCACTCACTAGTGAGTGCACTATAGTGCACTGAGAGATCAACAGCATTTATTGCAACTTCAAAGGTCTACGATAATAAAACGGTATGGGAAATAAATTACCAGTTTGGTGACTCCAGTCTCAAAACCCTGAATATAATGCTTTGATCCTGCCAAGAATTCAGATAAACTGTAATTACAGGCCATTTAATGCAGCAGATTGAATGAAATAAAATATCACACTAAATTATGTTCAACTTACTATGTGTTTATTTTTTGAACCCAACAATAAGTAACCTTCTACAGCTTCTGCGATCAAAGAAGCCACATCGAATGTCATATGAGTTGCATGGATCTCCTGACAGATGAACTGTTTGTCGTACTTTGACTGCAGTAAAAAAGTAATCAAAACAGTAATCCAGACTGTATGCATCTGTATGTCAAAGGGAAAGGTGTGTGCATGAGAACACGAGAAGTCTATAAATGAAGTACTTAACCCTTACGTGTTTTCTTTGATGTGGCCTTGTGCAGTCACTAAAATGTGTTCAACATGCTGAGGCTTGATTCACCCTTACTTACCCCAGTAAACTTCAGATGGACAGCAGTCAGAATGTTATTTACATTGGCAGTGGAATGGCACAAGTATTTAAGTTACTTTAAGATATAAGAAGTTTTGCTTCTTTTGTTTTCTTTGCTACTTTAATTTCTCAGAAAGTTGTCATGACAGAGTTACAATTGAGAAGAATGCAGAAAGCTTCATCCAGGTATTACAGACCTCTTTGTCATTTACTTGGAGCTGAGTTTTGCACATTCCATGCACTGGAATTACGGCCCTCCTCCTTGTAAAGGCGTCCCACCTCAAAGGAACCATTTAGACAGTTTTACTGCCATTTTACATTTCAAGAACTCTTTTAAAGGGACAGTTCACCTAAAACTGAAAATATATTATTTTTACCTCATGTGGTTCCAACCTTATATGATTTTCTATCTTCTCTGGAACACAAAAGAATATATTTTGAAGAATGTTGGTAACCAAAGAGTTTTGACCATTGACCATTGATTTTTAATGTATGGAGATAAAAAATAAAATTTTCAGTCATACGATCTTTTATGTTCCACAAAAGAAATAAAGTCATGCTGGAATTTTCAGTTTTGGTTGAACTAACCCTTTAATAACAGGCTTTACATGGATAATTCACTTATAATTCAAGATGGGGTTTTAATAAAAATTGGCTATCCATGCTGTAGAAACGCATTTGTTTTCTTTTGAAATCGGTGCTGTAAGACCATAGAAAAAGGGCAGTGATAAAAATAAAAAAAAAGTTGGAAAACTTCGACACCCATACTGCACTGGGCTCAATCACTGCATGGTGATTATTTATGTATATATAAATACACACACATACATATATAGTAAGGAAAATATAATTTATATATAATATAAAGGATATACAAGTATAAATATATATACATACAAATATTTTTTTAATATATAGGCCTACATATATGTGTGTATATTTATATATACTGTACACAGTAGACACATATAGCATATAGTATGTTAACAAACTTTTATTTTGAATGCGATTAATCGTGATTAATCGTAAAAATGTAACAATTATTTTAACGTTCTAATTGTTTTCAACTTTAAAGTTACACTATCCATGGGGATACAAAAATGCAGAAGAACAATCTGTAGTTCGGAGCTGTCATAAGTCTTGGTGCAGGTAACAAAGAAAAAATAATACACATTGCTCATTTATTTATATACAGACATTGAAACAAAGGTTGAAAAATAGTTGAAAATGGGTGAACTTGCCCTTTAACAAAAAAACAACAAAACAAAACTTCAGATTTCTTGAACGCTCCTTGTCTGCTTTTATTTTTTTAATCAACATTTTTAATAACAACAATACAGGGACTATAACAGAGTTTGAATGAGCAAGAAGAGGAAAAGTCCAGATCTAACTAATGATCTTTAGTGGACACTCTGCCAATGATCTCACTCACTAGTGAGTGCACTATAGTGCACTGAGAGATCAACAGCATTTATTGCAACTTCAAAGGTCTACGATAATAAAACGGTATGGGAAATAAATTACCAGTTTGGTGACTCCAGTCTCAAAACCCTGAATATAATGCTTTGATCCTGCCAAGAATTCAGATAAACTGTAATTACAGGCCATTTAATGCAGCAGATTGAATGAAATAAAATATCACACTAAATTATGTTCAACTTACTATGTGTTTATTTTTTGAACCCAACAATAAGTAACCTTCTACAGCTTCTGCGATCAAAGAAGCCACATCGAATGTCATATGAGTTGCATGGATCTCCTGACAGATGAACTGTTTGTCGTACTTTGACTGCAGTAAAAAAGTAATCAAAACAGTAATCCAGACTGTATGCATCTGTATGTCAAAGGGAAAGGTGTGTGCATGAGAACACGAGAAGTCTATAAATGAAGTACTTAACCCTTACGTGTTTTCTTTGATGTGGCCTTGTGCAGTCACTAAAATGTGTTCAACATGCTGAGGCTTGATTCACCCTTACTTACCCCAGTAAACTTCAGATGGACAGCAGTCAGAATGTTATTTACATTGGCAGTGGAATGGCACAAGTATTTAAGTTACTTTAAGATATAAGAAGTTTTGCTTCTTTTGTTTTCTTTGCTACTTTAATTTTCTTGGTACAGCTGTGAATTTTAGAAAACATCAAATGGCTGGTTTCTGTGATTGACCAATCAGAATCAAGTCTTTTAGAAAGCCATATAATAAGAGCTGTTAACACAAGTTTCTTGCTGGGGAAAAAAAAAGAAAAAAAAATTATAAGATGATTTGCTGGTCTTAGCTGGGTTTCGGTTAAGCCCAAAACCAAAACCAGCAAGCCAGCAGCCTGCGCCAGGCAGAGAGAAAAGCAAATCTGCTTAGGATCATTTAGAATGTTTTTTTTAGCAGATATATCCTTTTTGGAAAGTTATAATCATCAGATTGTGTCAGTTTTTGCGGAGTGCAACAACAAATTATTTTAGTTTTCAATATCATCAGATGATCTTGTTTTTCTCAGTAAATTATTATATGACTAGCACCTGCACTTGAACATTGACCTGTGGCAAGCAAATCTGAGATCATAATATGCTGAGTCTTCATCATGTGACTAAGGTGAGTTGTACTCCAGCTCAGGTTTTACCTGTCACCCATCATCTCCAGAGACACCTGACAGTATTTCCTATTATTGGAACTTCAAAAATATTTAATTTTCATTCTATTTTGCACTCACATTAGGATTGATATTCCAAGTATTACATACAGTTAAGTTGTTTTGCCACCTTTAAGACTTCTATTGGACTGAAGCACTGGCCAGATACCCAGAAGGCCCAGTGAGACTGAAAACATGGAGTGGTGATCCGGAACTGATGATATAAGAAGGGCCGGACTTGGAAACACTGCTGCTAGTCGCTTTGGCTCCTGTTTGCCAGCACTCCACAATAACAATGAAGATCCTGTTTCTGATCCCAGTTTGCCTGAGCCTGATTCTCAGCAGCTGTGCACAGAAGCCTGAACCCTGCAGTAAGACCTGTTGTCTTTTGCCTGCACATTGTAGTAAACTTTATAGAGCTTTAGCAGTTGAAAGAATGAAAAATTAATTTATGCTTGTTTGCTCCTTTTCACTCACTCTTGACTTCCAGAGTCTCCACCTTTGCTTGAGGGGACACTGACTGCGGTAAGTGGGCCATCTTGACAAGCATATTAAACTATTTTGTCTGAAAAAAAAGAAAGTTCATCAGAGAAACTTGTCATTTTGGCCTGAATGTTACCAATGTACCAATGTAAAGTTTGCTCTTACTTCCTTTACTAGTTGGCTTATCGCTACAAAAACAAAACTACCTCATTCAAGTGCTAACTGTGAGTTATGTGAAAGTGTTCTCTCGCTTTCTCTCCAACACAGTTCATCCCTGGGCACCACTTACGTGTTTTTGAGAAATTCTCCTATGATGCCTTCGGACAGAATGTCAGAGTTCTTGCAGCTGGAAAGGAAGGCAACCAGACCTTCTTTGTTGACAGGCTTCTGCTCTTCAGAGAGGTAAAGTACCACAGTTTAGGGATAAATAGCAAAACATAAATTTTGTAAAATGCATCGGGTTGCTGACTCTTGCTAAAGTGACTCAGAGTTTGCTCTCCTCTAAACAGGGAGTCAGCTATGAGATCCACTACCACAACCAAACTTGCATTAAGACAGCATTAAAGGAACCATTCAGACATATTGGGGTTCCCCATGATGCCCATTTCCTGAATCAAATGGTCTTGGGTAGCAGCTCTTTACCAGGACAAGGACTGCTGGTCAATAACTGGAATGGAACAGTGGAGGAAACACAAGGTAATGTGCGCCGTTATGCTGCATGGTGATTCTCAGTCAGGGTTTTAACACCCAGCACTGGCTATAACACAAATGTATTAAAATTAGGGCTGCAAAACGATTAATCGCGATTAATCTCATTCAAAATAAAAGTCTGTTTACATACTATGTGTGTGTACTGTGTATATCTATGTATATATATAGTAAGGAAAATATAATTTATATATAATATAAAGGATATACAAGTATAAATATATATACATACAAATATTTTTTAATATATAGGCCTACATATATGTGTGTATATTTATATAAAAAAAAATATTTACTCCAACCCCAAACATTTGAATAGTAGTGTATATTATTACAAAAGATGTCTTTTTTAAATAAATGCTGTTCTTTTTTTCTTTTTTTTTTATTCATCAAAGAATCCTGAAAAATATATATATATCACAGGTTCCAAAAAAAATATTAAGCAGCAAAAACTTTCCAACATTGATAATTAATCGGCATATTAGAATGATTTCCAAAGGATCATGACACTGAAGACTGGCGTAATGATGCTCAAATTTCATCACAGCAATAAATTATGTTTTAAAGTATATTAAAATAGTAAACCATTGTTTTAAATTGCAATAACATTTCATAACATTACTATATTTTTTTCTGTATTTTTGATCAAATAAATGCAACTTTGATAAGCATAAGAGACTTATTAAATTAAAAATCTTTATGATCCCAAACTTTTAGAATGAGAGTGTATAAACCCCATTGGAACACTCTTTCTTGTTTATCTCACCATTTTGGATTGTGTTTCTTCCAATTACTTCATACAACCACCCATTTGTTTTTGTCCATGTGTTTTGTGTTCAATACCTTGATTACCCCCATGGATCAAATGCATCTAAAGACCAACATGTAAGACAAGATTTGTTAACCCATTTCTTCTTTCTGTAGCTTCTTTGACCTAGTGGAGGGAATCGAGGACCCCAACGTCTTCATCCCTCCTTCATTCTGTGATTCTGTGGAAGTGCTGCCAGCCAAAGGAGTTGGGGCAAGATCCTTCACCAGTCTTCTGTGAGAGGAACCACGTGGGTTTTTGTCAGTGCATGTCCAGCTTACATTGCAGCATGGACACACCATTTTTGATTTAAATAAAGACCATTTGGGATTTTTTTTAAACCTACACACATTAAACAATGATGTGGCTATCCAAACTATGACTACTGCAAGTTCTTTTTATTCTCATGAAAGTCAAATACAGTCAAACATGGTAAAGCAATTCCATTCCTATCACAAATGACAGGCATTTTTCAACTAAAAGAAACAAACCAAAAAAAAAAAACGAACTAAATGAAATAACCATATACTGTATATACACAACTGAAAGATGCAGGTTATTCAAAGAAAACTGTACAATGTCCAGTGCCTGTTATAACAGATTCTCCAAAATTTTTAAGAGTCTTTAGGGGGTTTTGACAGGAAATTGCAAAGTTGAGTGCTCGGCTCTCGTGTTCACATTTCACAGGTTTAGAGTTTAGAGTCAAACCCACAGCACAGAAACAGATGAGGCCTTAGCAGCAATAGGTGCAGATCTGTTATTTGTACAGGATGTCGTAGTGGCCCGGTCGGTAGAGGAGGAAAATCTTGGGCTCTCCGTCTTCAGGGAAGATGTGGTGATTGATTGTTCCTCCCTCTCCTCGATCCATGTACTCCACCTGGATGCACACGTTTAAAGCCTGAGCCAGGGCTATAATGTGAATGTGGTCACTCTCTTTGGACATGGGCTCCACCTCCTGGCCAAAACAGAATGACATGTTGGTTTAAAATGTTGCAAAGTCATTGAAGACCAGCTTACTCTACAAGAACTGGTTGAAATGTAATCACATCTTCAAAATTACAACACAAGTCAGTCAGAAATGACGCGTTGTTCAGCGTCACCTGTTGGCAGAACTCTCGAACAGTGCGGCCGCCCTCTATGAAGTGCTGGAAGAAGTCTTCCTCTCTCTGCAGGTACCCAGAGGTCACCAGCCGCAGATAGACCACAAGATAATCTGACACGCTCTGCTCATTAAAGGAACTGAGCAGCTCACCTACAGACGGTTGCTTATCACAAGCCTCAATCAGGTCCATGAACTAGAGTGAACAAGAGGAAATTCATTATACAAACTCATTTAAGATTATTACTGACCAGAAGGGAGAAAAAATAAAATTAAAATAAAAAATAAAATAAAAAAGGCAAACAGGGCTGATTTGACATTTCCAGTGTTGTATTTTAACTACAACTATTAAAAATTGGTTTAGTTAACTGAAATAAAAAAATTTAATTATATGAAAAGGTTAAATAAAAATTAAGCCTTGGTCACACTAGACTTTGGGCACACAATTTCTTTGGACACTAAAATATTCTTGAAATGATGTCACGATCAGTGGCATGTTTTTTTTTTTTAACAAATATATAATCTAATTTATATAGAGGTCACGGCATGACATATCGATCTTGTAATGGTCACAACGTCTTCAAGTAATACAAATTTCACAGGTCAGAACTGACTAAAAGTGACTTTTGTAAAGCAGCAAATTGCAAACCAAAAAAAAAAAACACTATGTATTTATGTAACATAAAAAAAATAAAAAATAAAAACTTTTTGTGTTTCCAGTCTCCAGCATTCACATACGAATAAATGAAAATCAATGGAATTAAAAGTTTAGTGCGACCATGCCTTTAGGAATGTTTCCTTAGCAACTAACTGATATAAATACTAAACTTAATAAAACTGAAACTGAATTAAAGCTAAATATTTAAACAAGCAACAACACTAAAAAAGACATTTATTTTTATTAAAATAAAACAAACATATACAAATAAAATAAAAAAGGCAAACAGGGCTGATTTGACATTTCCAGTGTTATATTTTAACTACAACTATTAAAAATTGGTTTAGTTAACTGAAATAAAAAATTTTAATTATATGAAAAGGTTAAATAAAAATTAAGCCTTGGTCACACTAGACTTTGGGCACACAATTTCTTTGGACACTAAAATATTCTTGAAATGATGTCACGATCAGTGGCATGTTTTTTTTTTAACAAATATATAATCTAATTTATATAGAGGTCACGGCATGACATATCGATCTTGTAATGGTCACAACGTCTTCAAGTAATACAAATTTCACAGGTCAGAACTGACTAAAAGTGACTTTTGTAAAGCAGCAAATTGCAAACCAAAAAAAAAAAACACTATGTATTTATGTAACATAAAAAAAATAAAAAAATAAAACTTTTTGTGTTTCCAGTCTCCAGCATTCACATACGAATAAATGAAACTCAATGGAATTAAAAGTTGTGCGACCATGCCTTTAGGAATGTTTCCTTAGCAACTAACTGATATAAATACTAAACTTAATAAAACTGAAACTGAATTAAAGCTAAATATTTAAACAAGCAACAACACTAAAAATGACATTTATTTTTATTAAAATAAAACAAACATATACAAATAAAATGTATTTGAAATATTAATAAATACTGATAGTACACAAATAATAAAATAACACTTGACACAAATGTAAAAAAATAAAATAAAAATAAAACGTTTTATGCTGATGAAGATACACGGGGCAACTTTTTTGAGCAATGTTGCTTGGGCACTTTCTAGGGGTGTAATGATTCACTCGTTTTCTCGATGCAACGATTACAAACCCTGATGATGCATATGTATCGATCTTGAACATGGATTTTTGAATCGTCGATTTCGGACAGTAATCGATTTAAAACACTAAGAATCGAATGAATCGCGATTTCTATAACGATTCAATGCTTTCAAAATATATACACATTAAATTACTACAAGCAGGAATTAATGGAGACCTTGAACAGTGTTCGTGCCTCGCATCGCTCCACTATGTACCGCCTGCAGTGACTGTCACAAAATTGCGCTCGCACTCAGTTCGTCTCAGTGAGACACATTTTTTGAGCAGCTGATGTGTGATCTCTCCTTAGTACTCGTGGCCAGTAATGCTAAAGTGCTGTATCATCAGCCTTAGTTCATATTCTTCCAAAGACTTACTGTGTTGTGAAAATCTTCAATGGTGAATTCTGTGAAACCTTGGCTCACCAGATCCTGTTTACTCTTGGCAGCAATAGCCTTGAACCTGCCAAGTAAACACAACCAAACAGAGTCTTAGAGGAATGTACTCAAGGTTACAGAAGCTACTTCAGACCATTATCTCCTCCCCATACTTTCATGTAAATGATCTTAACAGGCTTGACACAACAAGTAGTTAGTCGGTCCACACTGAAATTGAAACCGGTGCATGATGTAAAACAATCAGTGTTGTTAAGAACATATTTAATGTTTAATATCCAGTTTTGTAGAGTGGGAATCATTTATTCAACCAAATGAATAAACAATGTGTATTCGGCTGAATGTAAGCTGGCCGGTGGTTACCTATGTAATTCTTTGCTGTCTTCAAGTAAAGACTCCAGATGTGAGAAACCAAAAGCTCTGTAGAAGCAGTTCCCATCTGGCCGTGTTTTGCGTATAGATGAGTACTTCTTCTGCAAGTCCTGTCGACAAAACAGTTTGATTTGTTAAAAAAAAAAATAACAGTCAGAGATTGGGATTTCTCTGCTTGAATATTTTTGTGCATAAATGAATATCATATGCTCTCTTATAGGGTATGTGATTAGATAACTGAGATAAAAGATAAGTGCATATTAATAATAATTAATGCATAGCATTCCATAAACATTCATGCACTATTGAAACGGTTCACTTACTCTTATCTTCTGCTGGTAAATGGTGTCATCGTCAGCATAATCTCGCTTAAGGACAGACAGGACCTGTCTTTCTGACACCAGAGGAATACTGGTTGCTATCTACAATGACATTCAGGATGGGTTAAAGAGTGCAACTTAATGAGCACCATGTGCATATATAAAATGCATGTATATGAGGCTTAAATGCCAGAAATAACCACGGTTCCCACACCTTTTGAAAAAGAAATGCCAATAACTCATTACATCCAAGTATGCTATTGCAGTTTTATTCATATTTTTATTTTTTTATTTTAATGTCTATATATTTTTGATGTAATTTTATTTTAGTTAATACTATTTTTTTTTTACAAAATAAAGGAGAAATGTTTCCTTGGCAACTAGCTGAGAAAAATAAAATGAAATTTTTAAAATATTAAATATGTTTTCGTTTTACTTCATTATAACAACCCTCGTTTTAATACATTTCTTTGTCTTGTACCAAAGCAAAATCTTCACCTGTTGAGTGCACTGTTGAAATACGTTTTACTAGAGAACCAACGTGTGTATAAAGCATCACAGAACATTATAAAAATACAAATTATTAAAATTATGACTCAATTACCTCTTGTTGAATCTTATCTTGCTGTGCAATAATGGCTTCATCATATGCGAGACAATTCAGCCCTGTCAAAGAACAAACACAATTCAGTGCAACATATCGTCAATTTTGCCTATTACTTGAAAACAGGCAAAAACCATAATTGTACATGATCAGTCATAAACATTATTATGGCTGTTACTGCGAGCGTAATGGTATTTTTACATTTGTTTCACAGTGCAGTGTTTTTTTAAAACGCTTATGTGTCACACCTCGGAGCATTTTCTTTTATTAAATGTTTATATAACGCTAACGGTCGTAACGTTATATAGCATATTATAAAGATCTGGACACTGAAACTGAAGTGCTTTAAAACATAAACAATGAACTCTCAGCTATTGTTGTTAGCAGGTTAGCAAAGCGCTAGCTGCTCATCCCATCAGCTCATAACAACATCCGCATGTGCAAACCGATACAAACAGAAGTTGGTTCTGGCCAAATTGCGGTAAAGTAATTCTCACCGTCAGCCTCTTTTTGAGAGATCTCCTGCTGTTGCTCCTCCGCCATGTTCCTTCCTGCTGAAGTTATTTCCGGTCACCTGATAGAGTGGAACGGCTGGAGATGAACCCATTTCCGGTTGAGATTTTTTACCTGCTGATCACGGTTTGTTTTACATCAGTTAAAAATGATTACCTTTGTGAATGTGCATGTTTTGAATTGAGTTCAGTTTAGTTTACTCCCATTAAAGCTGATGGTAAGTATACATTTTGACATAATCATTAATAATTAAGAGTTTTTTTTCACGAACCAGGCACCACCAGTGACAAACTCTCATAGATAATTTTCTAAGCATCATCTTAAAACAAATTAATATATTGATCTAAAATAAATACATCATACCAGTAAATAATTTTAAATATTTCTGAAATAACGCTAGAGTTATGTGTGTTATATGTGTTAAATAATATTCAAAATGTTATAGATTTTAATCAAATGTTAATTATATAATGATGCCATGTGACACTGTTCAGTTAATGGGATTCTTTCCAAATGAGCTGATGATCTGAATCAGGTGTATTAAAAGGAGACAATTCAAAAACTGTGCAGGATTGCAAACAGCCACCAATTATGGAGTTTTTTGATTATATGAAATCTTTTTTTAATGACTGAAAACTTGTGACATGTATGTTTGACACCGTATTCTGGAGAACTATCTGTATGCAACATATTATCAGACCAAATATATTTATTAAGTGCAAGAGTCTATCAAATAATCTTATATTTGATGTACAAGCCTTTCCGAGTTACTGAGTAAAGTTAATTCACTGAATTGCTAGTATACAAGATTTAAAACTACTTAGCCTTTATTTAAAAAATAATTTAATAGTATGATGTATTTATTTTTGCTTGATATGTTTTAAGATGACACTTAAGGTGCCTTGTCTCATATAACAAGCTACTGAAAAGCAATATATCTTTTTCCAGCATTGTCAAAAAGTAATGGAAAACAGAGAGACAAAGAATAAGATTTAAATAATGGTTTATTTCAACTGTAACAGCTCCAGGTAAAGAGAATTGAATCACGTTATCACACAGTTGGTAAGAGGGAGCAAACAGCTCAGCGTAACAAAGACCGGAGTGTCTGGAGGAAAGTAAACGGTCGCATGGAGAGGTAGCAGGGTGGCTCAAAGGAGACAAATTGTTCCACTGATTAGGTAAGCTGGAGGTCTGTGAGATTGTGGTCCCAACATGTTAAAAGCAATAAAACTAGACAAACTGCGTTCAGTCCATGACAAGTGCATCACTCAGACTCAGCAGCGTCCTTCTTTTTGTAGTTTTCCAGGTTAGCCAGAATCCACCCCGATGGTCCCAGGATGGTAAAAGAAAATATGGTCAGACCAATTACTGTCTCCTGTGAAAACAGACACAAGAACCAAAGAGCTGTTAGAGCTGTAGATGCTAAAAACCGGTTCATTTAACCGTTCATGGCAACATACAGGTGCTTTAATATTTCTGCTATCACTCCACAGTCTCTTTTGATATAAATACAAGCTAATCGGTGCCATAAATACAACTCAAAACGGCTACTTCATTGGCTGGCAGATGTGCATAAACCGAAACATTGAGGATATACATAACTGCTGTTGCAGTATTGTCTTACTGACAGACCAGTTGTTTTCTGCGTTGTAAATAATGGACTATTTTTCTTAGCGGAAGTTTATCTGTGATGCCCAGTTTCCTAAATAGCTCAAAACATAAACAACATGACCTTTAAAACGAGTATTAAATTAATTGTACTTACTCTTTAAAGTAAAATTGGAAATAAGGTAAAAATGGATATTCAGTTCACCATCTATCGCCTGTCAACACCACGACCTTCTATATATAACCGCGACCGGCCGAGAAGGGTTTAGCTAGCTAACGTTACCGTTTCAGTCCATAAGTCCAAAACGAATGCGGGAGTACAAAAATGATCTACTCGTAATCAACACCTGGATTAGAGCTATGCTCAAACTAAACGGAATTTTATGGCGGTATATAATGTTTCCGATCATCACAGTGAGTCTAAAGGTGAATGCCAAGGAGATCATAGCCTGCCCTTCACGAGCTGCAGAGGAAACAACCAGCGCTCTACAGATACTCACAACGGGCCCAAACTTATCCTTGGCAGGGCGCGTGGTGATGTTGGCTCGCTGGGTGATGGCTGATCCCCGCAGAACCGGAGCGGCGCGGACACGAGCGATTCCCCGCAGAAATCCAGACATCTTGATCCTCTGAAATCGAGTGTGTGTAATGAACCGGAAGAGGTATAGGACACCGGAGTGTGCGGCAAGACTGCAGCAAGGCTCATGGGTAACATCCACATGCTTGTGGGAGTTGTAGTTTTTTGCGCGTTAACCGTTTTTAGTTAGTCTGTTAAAATTAAACAATCTTGCACCGACACCAGTTATACGTTATTAAGATTATTCATTCCATTCGTGTAGTTATGTAACAGTGACACTGTTTTTTCGTCGTGATATAGTTAAATGGTCACTGAACAATTTTTACCTCTTTCATAATCTGGCTTCATAAAACCTGATGAACCTAGTAATATGTGCCAGCTGACTCAAAATAGCAAGTAATTCATTCAGATCCTTGTCTGCATACTATTGAAAGATAGCCTATTTATTGTTAAACTACTAAGGAGTAAGGGCAACGCCATCACCCAAAATTCACAGGACGTTGGGAAAATTTTTAGAGTTGAACCAAGGCCATTTTTTTCTTTCTGTTGCTTCATGCATACCTGTGTCAAAAGACAAATTAACACCTTTTAATGTTATAATTGTCCTAGTTTTCACAATTTTCAGGTCAGGTTATCAAGTTTTCTGTTTCTGCATAAGCATTGACATAGTCTTGCCTAGAAAAAGTTTTTTATTATACATTTCCAACATTAGGGGGGAAAAAAGTTTGTTTTACACACACAGACCCTTTATGAACACGTGGTCTTGTTCGTCACAGTTTGTTGTAAGTTGCCACATTAGGAGTCTATAACTAAATGTTATAGTCCATTTAATGGATTTTCAAATACACTGAAAAAGTATTTTAGTTATAGCACAAAACAATAAAACTGTGAAAAAAGTCAAAGATATCAAACTGTTTTTGCCAAAAGATTGTATTTTTATGCTTGGGTTAGATATGACAGTGCAGATTTGACAGAAAAGTGAAGGAAGATTTACAATCCATATATTTAAATCATGAAAAGCATGTATTTTTCTGAGGACTCGGTTCAGTTGTTCAAATCCACTTTCATTATTATTGACACTTGTATCCCAGTATTATTGTGTCCCCTTCTTTACTCTTTACTTTAGCTTTTATAAATCTGACAGAAGGCCCTTTTTCACATTTCGGGAGTTCTCAGAAGCTGCAGTCATCAGATGGGTAGACTTTTACAGTAGTGAATGGGAGACTACAGAAAATAGGATTTTTGCATTCCCATTTGCAAAAACTCCACAGTAGTGTTTCAACCATTTTTTAAAAGGGGAAAAAATTTTTAGTCAAATTTATTATCTCTTCCTCAGCCGTTGTGTTAGAAATATCTTGCAGCATTGTTTACTAATTTAATGCCATGGTAATTAACACAAAGTATAGTGTTATAAATGTTTATTTATTATTTTTTAATGAAAACTTTGGTATGAATGATGGTAATAACTATGGAAATGTCATCACTGTCTGTGACAAGGTTCTATATTGGAATATTTGTAAGGATAGAATTTATGAAAACCATCTAAAGAAATCTAATGAAAATGTAATTTAACATTTAATCTTCTGAAACCAGCATGCAACCACTGCTAGAAAAAACACATTTGTGTATTACTGCGATATAGCCATTTTGACAAACTAACTTTGGTTTCACTCGTTTATTTACTGACTTCTTAATACTTAAATACAAAATAATAATTTAATCTGCCTGCAAGTTTATGTAATCAACCATTGTATCACATGTCAACAAGCTAAATGACAGTGACATGTACTGTAATTGTTTTATAAAATAATAGATATTTGTTCGTACTTTGGAATGTGTTTTACAGACTACATAAAGAGCTTATAGGTATTAAAATAACAAACACAAACCACAATCTTTTACAATTTGTGTTCTCTGTTGCTTTATTTCTTTACATCATTCATGTAATAAACAAACAAACAAAAAAATCCACAAACATACATATATATATACATGAGGCACCAGAAGATTAATGAGTATGATTACACCAGCCAGTACAAGAGCTCCGCACTGAGATGGTCTTCGTCCTAACATGCTCATGGATATCGTAACCAAGATTTTGGCTGGTATATCCACCGCTCCAAAGATGATCTGGATAAGGTAAATGCTGACCCCAAATTTCTGCAGATCCATGGAGAGGCCGTAGTAGGCGAAGCTGGTTGAGAACCTAAGATGTTACAGTTCAAAGGTCAAAAGTGTGGTCATTTTCAAATGCTGGTTGGTACTGAATGAAATGCTAGGATTGATTGACTGACCAGACTGCGCTGAGGCACACAGTGATGGTTCTCATTGAGGATGTGCGCAGGAGGTCTAGAGCGCTGTAAGACCCCTTTGAACAGGCCATCTCCTTCTTCATGGACTCTTGCAACATCTGAACCACAACAGAATAAGAATTCGGAATGACCCAGGCGATGCTGAAATTGATACGTCATACAGTACATAATGTCATACCTCAAGGTTGATTTTGTCAGCTTCTGCATGCCGTCCATTTATGCGAGCCACCGTTTTGAGGTTTTTTACTGCCTGCTCTGATCTCTTGGTCAGGACCAGCCACCGAGCAGACTCTAAGAACCACCTGCAGAAGATAATAATGTGACTAGAATCCACTGCATCAGATCCCAATCCCATACTGCTACATATGTGACCCTGGACCACAAAATCAGTCATAAGGGTCAATTTATTGAAAATGAGATTTATATATCATCTGAAAGCTGAATAAATAAGCTTTCCATTGATGTATGGTTTGTTAGGACAATATTTGGCCGAGATACAACTATTTGAAAATCTGGAATCTGAGGGTGCAAAAAAAATAAAAATATTGAGAAAATCACATTTAAAGTTGTCCAAATGAAATTCTTAGCAATGCATGCTACTACTCAAAAATTAAGTTTCTATATATTTACGGTAGGAAATTTATGAAATATCTTCATGGAACATCGATAATTTTGACCCATGTATTTTTGGTTATTGCTACAAATATACCCATGCGACTTATGACTGGTTTTGTACTCCAGGGTCATATATGCCAAATATACACAGATTTTCAAGTAGATGACTTCTTACAAGGAGTTTTTAATAGCCATTTTTTATATAGGCATAATGTGTTGAGGATTGCTTTGTGCAAATTGTCATTTGGTTTACAATAATTATTTTAATTATTTAAATAATGAATAATCATTGTTATTAGTAAAATTAGTATAATATAATATTTATTTATAATATAATGTATTTTTATTACTAAAATAGCAATAAATAAATGTTATTTATTTATTATTTAAATTATTTACTACTTAATATTCATTTATTTAAAAGATTAAACACTAATATACATTACCGTTCAAATGTTTGGGGTTAATACAATAAAAAAAATACATTTATATTTTTATTCAAAAATTGATCAAAAGTGTCAGTAAACACTTTCACATTGTTACAAATTATTTCTATTAAAAAAATCTGAAAAAGTATCTGCTTCCACAAACATACACAATCCTTTTCAACACCAATAATAATCATTTAAAAAAATGTTTCTTGAGCACAATATATGCATATTCAAATGATTTCTGAAGCATCGTGTGACGACTGAAATAGTGGCTGCTAAAAATTCAGCTTTGACATTACAGGAAAAATGAAAGAATTAAAATTTTAAAAAATTATGTTATAGCCTAATATAACACAGCATTACTCTTTTTACTATATCTTAGGCAAGAGAGGTAAATTATTCAATCTTACCGACCCAAAGTTTTTAATTGTAGTGTATTTGTTATGTAACCAAAAAAGAAGTAGCAAATATGACAGCACTTGTAATGTACTTGACATATTTTAAAAGTGGAAAGAAACGCACCATGAGTAGAGGAAGGACACATAGAAAGGCAGAGAGACGGCCAGTGTGAGCCAGCGCCAGTCTCTGATGCAGTAAGCGACGGCTGCCAGGGTCAGCTGGCCTGTGGTGTAGCAGTAGCCCGTTCCTGTGCCCACCACCGTCCGCACACGCGTGGGGATCCATTCCACAACTGAGGAGAAGAAACAATGACACTTCATTCCACAAGATGTCGCCAAATACAATGTCAGTCAAATGCAATGTTTTTTCTCTACACCAGGGGTGCCCAAACTCGGTCCTGGAGGGCCGGTGTCCTGCAGAGTTTAGCTCCAACTTGCCTCAACACACCTGCCTGGAAGTTTCTAGTATGCCTAGTAAGAGCTTAATTAGCTGCTTCAGGTGTGTCTAATTGGGGTTGGATCTAAACTCTGCAGGACACTGGCCCTCCAGGACCGAGTTTGGGCACCCCTGCTCTACACATTGAATAGGTGCCAACCTCCAATTTACAGCTGTTATTCACTGTACTCACTTAGAGAGAAGGAGTTGAGCACCAAACCAGACAGGGCCATGCCACAGCAAACACGGAATATGCAAAACATGGTGAAGGAGGTGGAGAAGGCAGCACATGTTCCTCCAACCGCCATCATCAGGTTAGAGATCAACAATAAAACACGCCGGCCAAACCTGCAACAGAAGATGGAACTTTTACCGCATTTCTGGGTCAGAAGGTGTAATATAATAGTTTATGATGATAATATTGTTGTTGCTGTCGTATTTAATAGTAAAACCTGTCAGAAAGTCCCCCAAAAAGTACTGCTCCCACAAGGACGCCTCCCATATAGGTAGTTTGACTCATTTGCTTTAGGGCACGCTGGTCACAAACCAAATCCCACTAAAAGAAAAAAAACATTAGTTTAAAAACCCACATGATAAACATGACTGTGTTTTGTTTGCATATATAGCATTGTGGACAGACAGAGGTCGTATACACTCTTACAAATGAAGGTTGGCATTGATTCCATGAAGAACATCCATAGAACCTTTCCATTGGTCAAAAAATTCTTTATAGTGGAAAAACATTCTTTTATATTATTAAAATGCTCCTCACACTAAGAAATGATAATTGAAAGGTTCGAGGAACCAAAAATTGTCGCATCACTGTGAAAAATCCCTTTTGGAACCTTTATTTTTAAGAGTGCATTGCATAAAATGTTCTTTGAAGGGTGAAAAGGATCTTTAGATTGTTAAAATCCTGCTGGAAAAAAAGAAAGCTAAAGGCAGTCTATGGTTTTAGTGGGTTTAAGCTGGTCAAGCTGGTCTCTGCATGACTAAGTTGGTTGGTCTCCCAGCCTGACCAGACCAACGTGTCTAGCTAAGGAAATGGTCAAAAACACTCTAAAACCAGCCTGATTAGCCTGGAAGACCTTAGGCTACCTTAGACTGGTTTCTTCAGCATGAACTGAACAGTGAAAGGTTCTTTTGGGAACCCAAAATGGTCCTTTAAAGCCATTGTTGCAAACCCCCCTTTGGGAACCTTTATTTTAAAGAGTGTTGTGACCCCAAGTATTTGCATTTAGAAGTTGCATCTAAAAAAATCATGAAATTATTGCATTAATGATGCTAGACCTTTTACCATTTACCTCAGTAATGATAGTTGAACTCATTTCTGTCGTGTTGTAGTACCATCCATCCTCACAGCTCTGCATCTCTATCTCTTCCACACCCTCTTCCCATAGGATCTCTGAACTGTTGCTGCTCAGAAGCTGCCATTGAGGATGTGCGTAGCGTTTGCAGTGTTCCAGTTTGCCGTTTGTGCCCAAGGGCACAGTGGCCCGCAGCACGTCCCTAGCACTCATGGAGGACATTGAAATGTTGGCGTGGGGGGCGCAGTGGTGCGGTGGCACAGCGGCCACAAAATTCTGCAGCAGGTTATGGCTGGCCATCATCAGGATGGGCATACTCAACAGGGTGACATGCACGACCTGGAAGCGCCCTGTGCTGCCAACCTGCTCCAGCAGGTCAGAAAAAGCCATGGCTCAGAAGTCAACAACAACAGGAAATACCACAGGTATCACAATTTGTGTGATGAATATGAGTTTATGAGTTTGAGATATGAGTTTGAATGAGTTTATAACCCAATGTTCCGCCTTGAGGCGCAAGTCAGTTGTAAAATGTATCTGTGGGAACATAAAGATAAGGTATGAAAAAACCCTGATAAAAAAACAAACAATTATAGACTCTGAAATAGGTCATGCTATGCATTAATCAAAATAAAATGACATTGCAATCACAAAACAATTATATTCCAACATAACAGATTTAAATATACTCATTTAGCAGATGTGCTTATCCAAATGATTAAAAGCACTAGTGTGTCAGATATATATTACTAGATTATACAGATGCAAAAATATTTTGATTTGAGAAAAAATAAAAATTCAGTTGTTTTAAAAGAAAGGACTATTTCAATCTTTCTACTTCAAAATTTCATAATGCAATGCATTACTGGCTGTTTCTTTGTAATTAATTAGTAAATACTAGCAATTTCTAAATGGAAATTGTGGTTACACTTTATTTCGATAGTCCACTTTAGACATTCTATTAACTATAAGTAACTTTGTAACTACATGTCAACTATTTCTCATTAATTTGCAACTACATGTCTACTAACTCTCAGAGTAGACTGTTAGGGTAGGTTTAGGGTTAGTAGAATAAGTTGACAAAGAAAGTGTTAGAAGATATTAAGCAGACAGTCTACTAATACTCTACTAACTGTTAGTTGACATGTAGTTACAAAGATACTTACTGTTAATAGAATGTCTAAAGTGGACTATCGAAATAAAGTGTTACCGAAATTGTTTATGCATCAAATATTTAGTGTGTCTATGCATATGCATATTACCTTAAATGCAATTAAAATAAACTAAAAATAAAAGATTCACATATGAGCATAAAAAGCATGCGCACCTGTTGTGGCTTGAAGGATGTCCTGGATTTTCTCCCTAAATCAAATGGAATTAGAAAGTGATTCTCAATAGGAGAGGCACATAGAGAAACTGTTATGCTTTGTTGTATAATCAGCTCTGAAATTCCTCAGGCTTTCGGGTGGAAATGCACTTCAGGTCCGCACTGGATTAAAAGGTCCACTTTTAAACTGCTTGAAGCACAAACTTTTCCATGGAGCCCAGGAAGAGATGCCTCAGCTCGACTGAATTTGCTGTGCTCCCTCTGGAATCCCTTGGCTAACCTCTGTGCTCATACCTGCTGTGTCCTGAAGCTGGTCCAGTGTCCGGGCCGGTGGGGGGTTACTGTGAGGAACAGAGCTCAACTCAGGGTAGATTAGTGTGTGGAAGTTTATGTCTCATTATAGATGTGAAAGGGGAGGGGATTATGTGTAAATTAATGATTTTAAGGCATAATTACGGACTCTCTGCTTAGCTGTTGAGTGGGACAAAGGCAGAACGTTTTGTTTACTCTAGCAATTATGAGTGGGACAGAACAGATAGCAGAAAGTAGAAGAGTAACCAAAGATGTTTAGCCCTAGACAGGTTCCTGTATGTCTTCTGACTCTCAAAGTTCAACCTTTTATGTCATAAACACAGACACCTGTAGGTTATACTTGTTCAGTCTGCTGTAAGGTCATAAATCTGACTGACTTGAATAAGTCACACATCTTAAAAAAAAAAAAAAAAACTCTTTTTATTGTGATGCTATTGTGTGTGATCAGGATTTTTCAGCATTTTAATACTCCTTTCTAAATTTTCATGTATACGGACCCATTTCATGTACAGTTCTTTTTATTGTGATGCTATTGTGTGTGATCAGGATTTTTCAGCATTTTAATACTCCTTTCTATTGGTGGCTGACTAAATACTTTTTTCATGTACAGTATACAGACCAATTTTGATAAGACAACATCATCAATGCAAAATAAAATAATTAGCTTTTATTTGTCATCATACTAAAGCTAAATCATGCTAAATAAGTTTTTGAAATATTATCTGGAAGATTTGTTTAAATGTATAAAAAAAACTGAAAATGTATTCAAATGTAAATTTTTAGGTATTTTTATATAATTTTGTATTTATATCATTAATTATATAATTAAAAAAAACATGTATTATTTGTATTATATGTATTATTACATGTATTATCACTGCTGTTCAAAAGTTTGGGGTAATTTTTTAATTAATACTTTTATTCAAAAAGGGTGCATTAAATTGATTAAAAATGACAGTTAAGACATTTATAATGTTACAAATGATTTCTATTTAAAAATAAACACTGTTCTTATGAATTTTCTATTCATCAAAAAATAAAAAAATTATGGTTCCCTCCAAAATATTAAGCAGCATAGCTGTTTTCAATATTGATAATTATAAGAAATGTTACTTGAGCTTCAAATCAACCCATTAGAATGATTTCTGAAGGATCATGTGACGCTTATATTTAAATAGCCTATATATTAAAATAGAAAACAGTTTTAATTGCAATAATATTTCACAATATTACAATTATTACTGTATTATTGATCAAATAAATGCAGACATGCTGAGCATAAGAAACCTTCAAAACCATAAACTCTTTCTGACCCCAAACTTTTGAACAGTAATAACAGTAATGTTTAATTATGTAATTATATTTATAGACATTTCTTATTGCATTTCATATTTTTTAATTTTGAAACTTTTTATACTTGTTTGTGTATGTGTGTGTGTATATATTTATATATATTAGTAATGGAGATGGTAATTGAGTATGGATAGTAATTGAGATGGTCCTCACTGCAGAACACAAGATCCAGTGGTTGGATCCAGATCCAACTCCTCCCACCTTACTTATACCTAAACCTACCCATCTCCACTCCCTGATCCCTAAACCCACCCATCTCCACCCCTAAACCTACCAATCTCCACCCCCTAGATGTGGATCCAACCACGCCCCCTGGATCTTGTGTTCTGTAGTGAGGGGCTACTGAAAAGTTTTGGCAGTGACATAAATCTTGTGTTTTGCAAAGTTTGCTGCTTAAGCTGTTGTGGTGTTCATCCACATTGTTTCTAGATTATTTACTTTTCACAAAAAAAACTAATTTCACTGTTTTTTGATCCTGACACAAAATGACCAGCTAACATTAATTTACTAATCATATCAGCAGCACATGTGAAACGGAATGAGTACACTAGTCAGGTAAAATCACTATCATACTAATTAGATTGTAAGAGCAGAATGATTGCTATAAAAGGAGGGAAGAAGCGCTTCCAATCATTGTGTTCTTGTTAGCAATGATTACCTCCAAAGAAACACGTGCAGCAATCATCGCTTTGCATCAAAATGGCCTCACATGCAAGGAAATTGCTACAAAGAATATTGCACCTGAAAGAACCATTTACCGGATCATCAAGAACTTCAAGGAGAGAGGTTCGACTGCAGTGAAGAAGTCTTCAGGACGTCCCAGAGCGTCCAGCAAGAGCCAGGACCATCTCCTCCGGAGGAGTCAGCTACGGAATCGTGTCACCAGCAGTGCAGAGCTTGCTCAGGAATGGCATCAAGTTGGTGTGAGAGCGTCTGCACACACAGTGAGGCCAAGACTTTTGGACAACGGCCTAGTGTCAAGAACAGCAGGAAAGAAGCCACTTCTCTCCAAGAAAAATGTCAAGGACAGACTGAAATTCTGCAGGAAGTACAAGGATTGGACAGCAGAAGACTGTTGCAAAGTTATTTTCTCTGAAGCTCCCTTCCGACTGTTTGGGACATCTGGAAAATTGATCGTTTGTAGAAGAAAAGGTGAACGCTACCATGAGTCCTGTGTGGTGCCAACAGTGAAGCATCCTGAGACCATCCATGTGTGGGGTTGCTTTTTAACCAAGGGAAGTGGGCTCTCTCATAATTCTGCCCAAAAACACTGCCAAGAATAAAGAATGGTATCAAAACGTCCTACAAGTGCGACTTCTTCCAACGATACATGAGCAATTTGGTGATGATCCGTGCATTTTGATCCAAGATGGCGGCGCGTTCACACGCTGCGGCTTCTCTCTCTCCCGACAGAAAGGTGTTTTCGTGTTTTTTGTCTTGTGAGTCGCAGTGTTTTTGTACGCATTCGTCGCGTCTATTTGTTTCCAAGCGCGCATATTGTCGTGAGTTTCTGCTTGATGTCGGCAGAACCACATTTTTAGAGTTAAACTCTGCGCACGCCAAAGAGGATCTCGGTCTGCACCGGAGGCCCACTCCATCACCGACCCCCACTGCTGCATCTCGCCCAGTTTTTTGCCAATAAAAGCCTTAACACTTATGATATGCATGCTTATCATTGTTTTTCAATATACCATAGAAATGTGGAAAAATAATCTACGAATACTGAAGCAGCAAACATTGCAAAACACAAAATTTGTCACTGCCAAAACTTTTGGCCATGACTGTATATATACAGAGTTCTGGCATGAAACTCTAGATGGCGCAGTCCGATAGGTCTAACTCAATCTGACCTAATGACATCATTATCACATGGCACAGCTGATTGGTTCTCTCCGGTATCGTAGCCAATGAGCTCTCTGCACAACATTTAAATATATGACTAGTGCTTGCAGTAGCAGTTGCAGCTTGCTTCAGAACAGCGAAATCAATATCCAAGATAAGTGAATGCTCTTCTAATCCATATCACTCTGTGTATTGCGTGGTCTGTCTAATTGAATTAATAAATGAGCAACCATAATCAAGTTTAAACTTAGTGTCGTGTTAGCATTGCATGCAGAAGCGAATATTAAGCATATTAGCAGCAGCATTTAGCATCTGTGTTTATACAGCTGGAGCAAAAAAAGCTAAAGATGGCAATAGAAAAAAAAAATAAATAATAAACATATGTACTCAGCCCCTCCCCCAGTCCCATTCCGGTCTGGTCCCATACCATTGCGGTCACTGGGGGGCACAGTTTAAAAACCCCTTATGTAAAACAATGTGTTCCATAATGGGAGCTGCCCCAAAGATTATTGATGTGTAAGAATGTATGATAAAACCATCAATATACTGTTCAAAATTAAGAGAAAAATATTACTTTTTGAGGTTGCATAGATTTAGAGTTTCTAACTCTGTCATCCTGCATCACAGTTTTTGCTGAATAAGGCTGACCGAGAAGTTACCAGTTGAACATTGATTGAGTTAGTTGAAGTTATTCACTGTTAATGTAATGGTGAACGGACATTACACAATCATCCTAGCCACATACATTTGGCACAGAATGTTGTTAGAGTGAAGC